TATTGTTGGACTGCATTCATCTCACTGAATCTCATGAGAAACTCTGAACCAGAATTTGCCCAACTATGGGTTACCTGAATTTCTGAATGAGATAATAAATGCTCATTGTTGATAAAACCACTAAGTTTTAGGTTAATTTGTTATGTAATAATAGACAAATAATACAGATTTTGGTACCAGGAAGCATGATGTTGCCATATTGAAAACATAATGTAGGAATGAATTTGGAACTGATTAGTGGGAGGAAGTTGGAAAGACCTTGAAAATAGTGAAAGACTAAAGATCCTTGTAAAGACTTATTAGAAGCCTGCTGGCCTGTGGGAAGGCTATCAGTAAGGACGTTAGGGAGAATGAGTAAAATGTTTTTGGAAACTAGAGGAAAGGATATCTTTGCTCTGTAGTGGCAAAAATTTTAGCAACACTGTCAGAGTAATATGAAAAGCAGAAAACATATTTAATGTACTGGGTGATATAGCTAAGGAAGTTTACAGAGTATTGAAAGTACTAACTGGCTGCTTCTTCCTATTTATAGTAAAATGCAAGGGAAGTACCTTAATGGAAGGATTATTAAATATAAAGGAGCCAAGAATTGTTGGGTTTGAAAATCCCCAGCCCCTCTAATGACAAATAATGCTAAAATTAGAGCTTGATTTCTGGCAAAGATTAAATCCAGGAAACAATTAGAAAAACTATAGTCTGAAAATGAAGTCAAGATGTGACTGTAATATCTTTGTTATGACCTCAAAAGATTTAAGGCAGTGCCTTAAGAACTATTCTGTTAATCAATAAGGACTTGTAGATGGCTTAAGAATGTTGTCTCTCAGCAGCCTTCTAAGAAACCTAGGGCAGAGAAGGGCTTTCTCAGAGATTTGTGGATAAGGCTTTTGCCTAATGGTGTGAAACCTAATAAGATTCATAAAAGACTCACAAAGTTTTTAAGACATTTGTATTAGCAGAAACACCACCAGGTTGGATTGAAAAGAACAGATAGAACAAAATGAAAAGAAACCTTTGGACTTCAAAACTTGTACCGTCATGAAGCAGTCTGTAAAAACTACTCAGCCACAAACATAGGCTACCTTTCATAGAAAAAAGAGGGATGACTCAGAGGGTTGAACCAAGAGCAATGGAGAATTACTCCTATGCTTTGAGTTCTAATCAAGGAACTGCCAACATGTGTCTGATGGATTTCAGATTTGCTAGTGACTAGTGACGTCTCTGAACCTCCCATTATCTCCTCTTTGGAATGGCGAGACTATAGCAACTATCTTTTGCCTGTCTGTATTTTAAGCAAAGAACTTTTCAGTTAATAGGTCTTCAGATTGAGAAAAACTGTACATGGGGAGCATCATCCATAAGTTAATTTAAATGATGAGATACTAGACTTTAAGCTGATGCTATAAATGGATGAGACTTTTGGGGTGATCATAGGAGGGGTGAGGATATTTTGCATTTAGGAGGAATGGAAATAATTTGTGGCCAATGTGTGGAATGCAGTGGTTTTAAAACATGTCTTTAAATTCTTTGACATTCCACTTCTTGAATGTGAGCCAGATAGCAACTTGCTTCTAATGAATAAAATGAGGCAGAAATGATACTACATGATTTTTGAGGCTAGGTCATAAAAAGAAGGATAGCTTCTGTCTGATATTCTCTCCTCTCCTCTCCTTTCCCCTCCCCTCCTCTCCTCTTCTCTCCTCTCCTCTCCTCTCCCCTCCCCTCTCCTCCCCTCCCCTCCCCTTTCCTCCCCTCCTCTCCTCTCTTCCCCTCTCTTCCCCTCCACTGTCTTTTTCTCCTTCCCTCCCTCCCTTCCTCCCTCCCTCCCCTGTCTCTCTCTCTCAGATCACTCATTCTAGGGGGAAGCCAACTGCCTTGTTGTAAGGACACTCGAGCAGCTTTGTGGAGAGAAGAAAGTCCCAGCTGGGGAGAAACTGAGTCCTCCTGCCAAAACCCAGCACCAAAGTGTCAGTCATGTGTAAAAGCAACCTTAGAAATAAATCCTTCAGCCCTAGTCAAGCCTTCAGGTGATTGCAGCCTTGACTGACAACTTGCCTGTAACCTCATGAGAGATCCTGAAACAGCTGTTTCTAAATTCCTGACACACAGAGGCTGCAAGAAATAATTAGTGCTTATTATTATTTTAAGCCATGAGTTGGCACAAGTACTTATGCAACAATAGATTACCAGTGGATCCAGCCAAAATTATGATAAAATCATAATGGGAGGATGACTGACCTCTCAAAAATTATTCACCTAAATATGTAAAGGGAATTTTCTATGATCATGTTAATATAGGGAGGCAATAAGTTTTCTTTTTTTTCATATTTTTCACAGTGATAGAGTGATCACATAGAACTAGCACTCTTTGTATTAGTCTTTAAAAATGAGTAGACATAAATTAAAAGCAATGCATGTTAAGATGGAAGGAAGCTAAGAGATTATGTAATTTAAGTTCTCTGTTTAGCACAGTGTATTAGAAAGGGTAAGTGTTCAACAAATGATTTTGGTTTATATATATATGAGATGTCTATTATAGTATTTAAAATTTTGACTTATCAAAGTAATTCCTATACATAGTTAATTAAATATTATACCTTTCTTATCAAAAGCAGTCCTGTGCTCAGTTTCCCAACTCTTGTCCCACAAGGCAGCCACTTTGATTTTTTTAACCTGCAGTTTTTGGTAATTACCTTCATAACTCCAGATAAAAAGCATATACAATTGTTTCTTGATTTATTAGCTTTAAAGAGTGTTTACTGACTTCCCATAATGATCACTGACAACTTCTTTACTACCTCAACTTCTCTCCTCCATTTTCTCAGTAGAATTACAATTTTCAGTTAAACCAGTACTTAGTATTTACACTATAGATATTGTTTACTGCTGATTAAGTAACGTATGATGATTATCTGCCTTCATATGGACGTTTGTGTTCTTGGAGTTAATTATTTCCTTTTCTTTCATTTGCTTAATTTTCTATATATGTACTGCTTATTCCTAATGCATCAGCAGATGTGTTGAATTCCTAGCAGTCGTAGTTTCAACTTCTCAAACATATCAAATATTCAATCAGTTCCATTTTTCCTGTCCTAGAGACCTCCCTCCACAGCATTCTGTCCTCTTGCTCTCATCTGGACAGTTGCTCTGTAGCCTGGCCACCATGCTAGGACTTTACTTAGCCATTCTGCTTTGCGGATTGTTTTTGAGAGAATTTGCTCATGTGAATGTAACTAGAATGAGGAGGCATTAATATTTTAAAGCGAATCCTAAATTATTAATCTATACTGTTTATATGTTCTGGATTTACCAGCCTGTGAGGTCACATAAAATGAGGTCACATTTGCTTTGGTCATATAATGGCTCAAGTCTTCACAGTTTGAATGAAGATCTCAGCACCACTAACTTTGCAGAGTTCTCTCTGAGTTTTTCTGAGGGATTCCCTAAAAGGGGTATACTCACATGTGCTTACTAACTAGTCTATCCACAAGGCTTGTGCCACCTTCTTTTGCTTTCGCTCTTACCCTCTGGTGGATGTGTATTGTCCTGAATGCTGTTTGAAGGTGCCGATAATATTCCTCGCTGCTGATGGTATCCCTCATAAGGTTGGTGTTGTATTTGCCAAGGATGTTTTCTCCTGGTTTTGCCATTTCCAAGAAAACCAGGGGCACTAGGCTTGATAAGAGGTAATAAGAATGAACCTTTCTCCAATTCCATGCTACTTTCCCACTCCCCCTTCTTCATAGCTCAAAGTCCAGAGCTCACAGTCTCTTTCAGCTTCTCAAACTCTGTGCAGTTTCCTGCTTACATACTTGCCATAGTCCCTTTGTCCAAACCAAAAACAATCAAAGGTCATGACCAACTGGCAAACACTCATTTTGGCAGGAATGACACAAAAGCTTGAAGCCTCAGAAACGCATCTCAGTCACATAATGTATTACCAAACCAGAATGTTTAACATCACTGAGTTTCTCAAATCAGAGAGGCAGTCAGTGTTAAAGTGGGATGAAACTTCCATTCTGGAGATAGAATACTACTTGTACCTTTCAAATGGTGGACCTCTTTTTCTTCCAAACAAGATTATACATGCCTTTGCGTCTACTCTCAATCCAAGTACCTTATTGCAAATCTTTAAGGATGTCCATATTCTTTTAGAAAACCTCAGATATTTTTTCCTTTGCAAAAATTTAGACAACTTCTATGGTTATCTGTCTGTAATAAAATGGAATTGAAATACTAAATATTTTAGACTTTTCACAAATCAGGCTGGCCTTTGCTCTAAAAATTGTCTTAACTTGCTGAGTTAGTATTTTCAAAGAGTACTTAAAGGTGGAAATACCACCAACAGGGAGACCTGCTAGCAGACCACAACAGAGGAAAGAAGTACCTATGAAGTTTAAAGTACTACCATGCTGGTCTTTTTTGCCTGGTGAAAGAATCATTTTCAAAACAAAGGCTGAGTTATTCCAGAAAGAAATTTCAGGTGGTACACAAAACTCTTCATTATCCTCCTTTGCCTCCCTGTCTGATGCCATTTCCTACCTCTTTAATGTTCCAATTTTCTTTATTTAGTGGATGAGGACAATTAGGTTCACAATTTATTCTGTTAGAAAGTGGTAGAATCTGGATTTTTACCCAGGTCAATTTGACTTCAAAACTGGTGGCTTTTTCTGCTTACCACATCACAATATATCATTTTGGATAGATACAGAGATGACCCAGAGGAAGAGGATCTTACCTGGGGAACTATTCAGTCATGTGGATTATCTAGGATTTCTCTGGCATATATAATGGTTCCCTGGTGATACACACTCTATGTTGAAGGATGTTCTACATGCGATCCCCTCCTTGTACAAGCAAACCTAATCCCAAACCTCACTGTCCCTCTCCTTTCTTCTAATGCCTTTTCTTCCATCCCCTTTTTTTGAAGAGAGATTAAGTGACTGGTTGCTGAACCTGTACTCTGCTCCCTACAAGCCATCTAAATGGCAGACCCGGCTTACCTTTCCTATGACATATGTTAACAGCTTGAGGGCCAGAGGATCATGAACCAAGGAGTCTATGTAAAAGGAACCAAGGTATTTCTTTGGGTTGATTGGATTGTCTTGGGCACACAGATCTGGGTGCATGCTGAATCCACGGGAGATTCTTCCTACTGTGAAGGAGAAGGCTCCACCTGCAAATAAAACCTATTACTGAAGGTCTGGCTTTGATTGTAAAGGATTCCTTTTAATCCTCATATTGTGTGCAAAGAGAAGTTACTATAGTCCAGCTGGTTAGCAGTATTTACAAAGGACTGGGTTCCAAATGCTGAGAGGTGACCCAGAAGAAACAACATGAACTCATCTAGAAATTCAGATTCAAAGAATTTATCCTAAAGAGAAAAGACGAGTGTGTAAAGTTACGTAGTCAAAGTTTTCAAATGTAGCATGGTTGTAATAACAAATTACTGAGGCAACCTATCAGTCAGGGAATATCTAAATAATTATGGCATATTCATAAATGTATTGCCATGCAAGCAAACATCAAAAATCAGGAGCTCTGTACTTACATGGAAAGATGTCTTCATATGCTGGTGAGAAGGAAAAACAGATCTGATAACAGCATGTTGAGTTTGACTGTGTATGTTTGTGTGTATCTACGTGTGTGTGTGTCTGTGTTTCTGTTTGTGCCTATATGTGTCTAAGAGTCATGAACTCTATTACCTACAGGGACCAAGCAGGAAATTAAATGAATGAAATAGGTCTACTTATTAACAAGGTGAATAGTGGAGACTATTGCAAACTGGAGGGCTTGTGATCTGATGATTTAAATAAAATAAATAAAATTTAAATAAAATCAAATAAAATGAGAGATTTAAATAAAAAAACAAAACAAAATAAAGCAAAAACTGTGCCAACCAAACAACTTGTCTGTAAAAATGGAATTTGGTTCCTGAACCATCAAATACTTTATGATTACAATGATGACTGGAAGAATGTTATGGATTGAATTATGTCCCTATAAAATTCACATCTTGAAGCCCTAATTTCCAAGGTGACTGTATTTAGAGACAGAGCCTTTAAGGAGATAATTAAGGTTAAATGAGGTCTTAAAGTGGGACCCTAATCTGTGCATGCAGAGTAAAGCCCATGCGAGGACACAGTGAGAAGGTAGCTTTCTACAATCCAGGCAGAGAAGCCTCACTAGAAACCAATTCTGACAGCACCATAATCCTAGAGCTCTTAGAACTGTGAAAACATCATTTCTGTTGTGTAAGCCACCCAGTCTGCGGTATTTTGTTACGGCAGCTGAGCTGACCAATATAGATGGAGTCTTACCTCCATGTGCAAAACATACTTGCAGTTTAGGAAACTTCTTGAACACTCCACCCATGATCATGGAGCAAATGGCTATGATGGTCTCTGCTGGAACTCCTGAAAAGAGGAAATGGTCACAAGATACAGGGCTTGTCACCTCAAGCAAGAAGTTCAGTGATGCTGATGGCTGGGGAGAAGCAGCCTGCTGTAATTGTCAGTGCTGAGAAACGTGGGGTCTCTGTGTCCCAGCATGGCTTGGTTGTATACAGCTATTACTTTGGCAAGCAGGACAATCTGACGCTTCCTATTTGCCGCTTGCAGGTGGAGTCATCTAACAGCTAGAATAGTCAAGGAGCCAGAGGACCTGGCTTTTGTCTTGATTCCCCCAGCTTCAGTTTTGGATGCAAGGGGGCAAGAGAGTACACTGAGTCTGGGCTGAACCCTAACTGTTCCAGTTTTTTGCTTTCCAGCCTTTGATAAGGTGTAATGCCCCAGAGCCTGTGCTTCTTCACCTGTGAAACGTGGACAGTATTGCCCATCTTGCAAGGCTAATGTAGAGCCTTGCAAATAATTATGTCAGAAAGTTCTTGGCCAGAACTTCACAGTGGATGTGCTGAACAAATATTAGTTGCTTCCCTGTGCCTCCATTTCCTCATCTGTAGAATGGGGGATAATAATGATTAGTTTTGTCACTTAGTTAGTGCCTAATAAATAGTAATATTATTATTCATTCCAAAATTTTGCTTCTTAGAGCTGAGGTTGAAAATAACTGGATTAAAATGAATTATTTCAAGTGCATTGTACTCCTAGAAGAAGCAGATATTTAATGCTCAATGCCTTCCTTTATCTCCACGGAGTCAGTCCGGGCTACATTTTCAGATTACTGCTTTTTAGACTATGATTACAAAGTCTCTGGGGGCTCCACAGCAGAGCCTTGCACCTCTGGAAAGGCCTGACTCTCTGGCTGCTGAGTGGGGCTTACTGAATGCTCATCCTGCCCTGCTGCAACATGGACAGAGATGACTTAGCTCCTTGACCTCTTAGAAGCATGATGGACTCATATGCATCTGGAAGTGGGCCAAGCTTCCTGAGACAGGGAGAAGGACAGCATCAACTCTTTTTGGTCCCATGATTCTGCTTTCCATTAATTACTTGGACTATAACCTCACAATCCATTCTCCATACAGGAGCCAAAGTAGAATATTTACAATGTAAATTGGGTTATGGCTCTCCCTTGCTGAGAATTCTCCAATCTGCCAGTGACCACTTTTGCATCCAGAACAGAATTTTGAAATTAGCCTGTTTGTTTGTTTGTTTGTTTATGATCTATATACTTGTTTATCATCTTTTTCCTCTAACCAGAATGTAGGCTTCAGAAGGGCAGAGGTTGTGTTTGTGTCAATATCCTCGATGTCTCATACAGGCCTGACATGGTGGTGGAGATCAATATATATATGCTGCATAAATGCATGATGAAATGACCCTTTTTGCAAATGCTTTCTGAGAAGTTGCAATATAAATAATATGTTTGTTTTACTTATCAAAGTGTTGTATGAATTAGGAAGCTGGAAAGCATTGGGCTTATTAGGTTATCTCTTTCTACTAATCGTTGTTCAAAAATTTGATAGGGGATGGATAGGAAGATGCCTTACTATATACACTGGTCTTCAAAAGCAATACCAGGGACATAAAATATCAGAGCAGAAAGAGAATCCAGACCAACTCTTTCATTTTACAGTTGAGGAACTTGGGCCCAGGGAAGTAAAGTGATTTGCCACAGGTTATACAGAAAAATAGAGACTAGCTGGAACTGAAATTCAGTTGATTGACTTTCAATATATTACTCCATTTAATTCTTCATGATGGTTACTTCATAATTACTTGTATTAATTGGGCTGAGAAGAGAATGGATGATGGCCTCCCCAGAGTAAATCCAATGCTATTCATTTGGGGACCACTCTTCCTTGGGTTTGTATATGAGCTCCACTTTTCACTTGTGACTCCAGAATTTTACATTTGTCTCCATTTCTTCTTCTTATCAGAGATGATATGAGAGATTGGATAGGCCAAAATGAGGTGTCTCCTCTTTTCCTTTTACCCTCATGTGGCACCATGAATGACTAGACCAGGAGGCAAACAGCAGAAGAGAGGAGCAGATACCCAGCAAATTGAAAGCCTGGGTCATCTATAATGTAAGGCCTCAGTTCCTTGGATGGTAGAAGGTGACCTACTACTCATAACTCCAGGGTTTTTGTTTGTAAGAGCTCTTACTGTTATTGGTTTCTAAAAAAAATCTATTACATAAGCATGGCTACTTATTTTTGGAGCTTTTGTAAGGTATGTGTAGTGAGGGAGTTTTGGAGACAGACAGATCTGTGTAAATTGTATTTGTGCTTGTTCACTGTGTGACTTAGACAACTTTTTTAACCACTCCGAGACTCAGTTTCTCTATCTGTAAAATGGTTATTATAATGTCAACCTTGTAGACTTTTGTGTGGATATGATTAGAATCATAATCCATACAAAACAAGCAATATATGCAGCACTTATCTGAGTAAGAGCTCAATAACTCACAGTCCTGTTAATTTATACTTTTTCCAGATAATTGGAAAAAAACAAAGACTTTCTCATCTTTTTCTAGACCCCTGGTCTGACACAAACCTATAAGCCAAGGGAGCCAGTATTTGGCCATTCGCCCATCCATCTGCATGCATGTCCCACGGGTGCACCAATAGGGAACAGTTCAGCTTTTCAGCTGCCTTCAAAGAAACAGTGAGAGAGAGAGTTACTTGGATGAGCCAGCAAATACAGGGTCCTGTTTTAGGGAAATTGCTTTTCTCTAGGTCTGCATTGATCTGAATAAATACACTTAAATATTTTCGAAGTTGTTGCTTGATCACTGTAAGAGTCATTGATAAACTCTGCTTGTGCTTGTAAAATAAAAAGGACACTTAGATTTAACAAGGGGATCGGTGGATTTACCACTGAAGTTGATTAACTTAATATACTGTTTGGCAAAACAAGTCACAGGAAACATCCATCATTCAAATGTTTTGGCTGAGAGCAAAATGCTTAAGGACTGATCCTGCATCTCAAATGCATGGGGACATTTATCCTGTTGGTACCTACTTGGTCCACTCTTTCAGAACAACTACTCAGTTTGTATCTTTGGAGTCAAAACTGGAGTATTCCCTTCTTTCCTCCACCTGGAATCCTGAGGATATGGAAAGCAAGGAAGTGATGTGCTGAGAGCCAGGGGTTCAGGACCAGGCTGGAGTAGGCTGGCCTGGCCCAAGACCTCCAGTTACTCAGACCCTGATACTGGGTGGGAATTTCTGGGGTCTGCAAGCTCTCACAAAGCTTCAGGAGCCCAGCTGAGTTCCTGAATAGTCTTGTGTGAATGAAATGACTTTAGAAAGGAAAGAGCTCTTAATGCCTCAGGCAGGCAGGTACTGAGATAAATGTCATGGGCAAACCTGCTCCAGGGCCTTTTGAGAAATGGAAATACCATCTGGATGAAATGACCTTTATTCAAAAAAGTCCCCTCAACAGACATTGAGTATTAGTATTTATCTAGGTTCAAAACAGATTTTCCTTAGCACATTTCTTTTCCAAATATAATGGGGTCCAGGAGTGACTTACATATTAATATGTAGGCTAACTAGGCTGATGCAATACAACTTCTGTACATAAGCATTTTTAAAATGTAGAAACAATTCTGGGACAACAAGGGATTCTGGAAGTGGCAGGCCAAAGGTAGATCAGAGAAAGTACTTCTAATTTAATGGGTTCTGAGGAGCAGGAGATATGCAAATCTTTTAACAGGAGAGGAATTAATTGGTTTCTGATAGTGGATGCAAGCTAGAAAGAGAATATTGGCTTCTCGAGATGGTTGGGCTTGATAAAGGCATGTGATCACAGTATCTCAATGAGATTTGACTTTTCTTTAGGACCAAGCTTGATTCTATAGCCTATGCTGGTTCATGTCTATTCAAATGAAATTAACAAATATTTTTGGTTACCTTCTGTATATGAGGCTTTGTAGAGAAAACAAAAAGCAATCACTTACACTCTCAAAATTATAACTCACATTAACTGAGAACTTATGTGCCAAAGCTGTTATACGAATTTTACAATTATTAACTAGTTTAATACTTTATGAGATGAGCACTCGTATTACTTCCATCTTAGAAAGAGGAGAACTAAGGCAGATAGATGCTAAGTAACTTTCTCAGGTCTTGTGGCTGATAAATGGTAGAAATAGGCAGTCTGCCACTACTACTCTGTCTGCCTCATACTCCTAACAAAGTCATTTTTGTGCCTGAAAACTGAACTGACCTGAATGCGTATTGTTGGGTTCACTCACTGAAAAGCGAAGTCTAGGAGATAAAGGGGACAGCTTTGAAATGACAAAGCCAACTTGGCTCATGGTAACCATCTCATCTGTTTCAGCACTTTACTGACGCAGTTTACAGAGTAGTGCGGCTGGCAAGTCTTGCTAACCAAACAAATGTGCTGTCAGTCCCAGGACATCACAAATCAACTGGGGCCAGGATGCTCTCCTGAATCCCCTCAGAGACTGCAGCCCACAAACAGCCTAGTTAGAATGATGGATGGGTTGAGCTAGTCAAACAAATGAAAATACCATCCATTTGGACCCCAACCAGTTGCTTTCTGAGACCCTTAGTAATTCATAATTCCAATTCCAGTGAATAATAAAATGAATTGCAGCTGAAGGTTTGCTCACACTGTGCTGAAACAACTTGGATGCCCAGTAAGTAAATCCTCTTTCAAAGCTCATTAAAATTTCTAGAAAACATACACTGCATCAGCTCAGTCACTGCAGCCAATAAGCTTCAGGAAGTTCAATATTTAGAGGAACATTAAATCTTTCAGGTTATTAGGAGGCAATTTAACAGGCAATCCCCCAACTAGTGGGCAGTGTCCATAGAAACAAACATGGGAAAAATTTTGCATGTAGTCAGAGCTCAATAAAGATTAAATGAATAAAACGATCGGTGATTACAGTGTATAGTGAGTCTACCAACATCTATTTAATTCATTATTGAAGAGTTTGCGTTTACAGTGAAAATGATAGGAAACAATGCTGTTATAATTCTAGGAGGGATGTAGAAAATGTAATCAAATATAGAATTATGCATCTTGAATCCTGGTACTAATGAAAGCCAGGTTTAGTAGCAGAAAGAACGGAAGGTAGAGGAAGACTGGTGGAGAGGACCATGGGACTGTGAAATACCTGGCACTGAATTTTTGAAAATATATTTTGTTATGCTATATTTCAAATATAGAAAGTTATTTATAATAGTACAGTGAACATTCATATACTCACTATCTAGTTGCATCAAATGTTAACATTCGGATGGCATTTTTTGTTATATATTTTTATTATACGTTTTCAAAATACGTGGCTTAAAATTTATCTTAATTGAGGATTGATTAAATAAAACATATGCATATGTTAGAGTATTATGCAGTTATTTAAAAATCACTGAGAATTTTCATTTAGATTGAAAATTCTCAATTAGGATATGAAATCATGTATATAATAGAATTATTTCATTAAAATGTAATTATATGCAGATATATGCAAATAAAAAACAAATGAAATATAAATGAAATATACTATACCAGTGGTTAGTTATCTTTGGGTGGTGGGTTATAGGTTATTTTGTTTTTCTCTCTATACTTTTCTGTATTTTCCAAAAATGCTTTTCTTTTTTTGTATGTCATTAACATGGTTGTTTTGTAGTGTCTGCAATGAGTGTAATACTTTGGCATCCAAATGAAAGATTAAAAAGAGAGTATAGGGAATAGAAAGAAGAGAGATTTCACTGAGTTAACTCAAAGCTGGCCTAGGAAGCATTTCTACCTGTCCCTTGTCTAGTGAAATGATCCACTCCTTTTGGGGAGCTCTTTCCACGTTTCCTCCAATGTCCACCATGTCATCAGGCATCTCTTTCTCCCTTCCAGTAAAGTAGGCACGTTTATCTTCTTCCTGCTAGCACCCAGCCACTGCCCAGCCTTGCTATGTGTTCCCTGAACAAGTACCGCCTACTCACTGCATAGACAGGGAAGAGTTCTTGCATGTTCAGGTCGCACAAATTGATGTGGGAGCTGATCTGGACCCCTGGGAAGCCCAGCTCCTTCACACAGTACTCCATCTCCTTAATAACCAGCTCTGGGGCTTGCAAGGGCAACGTCCCCAGACCCATGGACCTCTTGGGGTGGCTTGCAATGGTTGCAGCTAGGTCGTTTAAAAACTGGCACAGGTTTAAAGTGTCCTGAGGTTTGGCCTAGTGGAGACAGGTAAGGGAAAGTCACATCGTTCAAAACTTACTTCTCTAGATATCTACTCTGAACATCTCCCCTGGGCAAAATCATTTGTCACTATCGGTGGCTTTAACCCTCAGAAAGCTGAGGAACAGATTGAGATAGGCATTGGCCTCAGAAGCCAACCATTGCAAATGCAAAGAAAACTGCTAATATTGCTGCTCAAATAGAAAATTTGAGGCTGTAATCTAATGGGACGGACACAATTACTGGGCTGACATCCTGTGGTAGAGGTGGAATGAGGGTGGGTTGCCCCACCACCTGCAGACAGAAGCTTGCAGGGCTGCACACCTATGCACCTGAGCTACCTCCCACACAGGAGTGTCTGACATCACCATCAGAGAACCTCAGGGCAGCTCCTTGTCATGCCTCACTGCAGGATGCCAAGGATACTCATGCACCTTTCCTGTCCCTGTTTGTCCTTCTCCTTGTCCTTCCTGTTGGCAGTGACACTCAGAGTTACTTTAGCAAAATGCTGATGCAGATGAAGTTTGCTTTTTGTTCCCCTAAATTTTCCATCTTCATTATTTTCTTTCAACATCATCCCACCCTGGACTGCCAGGAATTTGATACTCTCCTGCAATCCCAGTTGTCTAGTCAGAATGACACTCAATCTGATAAATTCAGGCATATTGAGGTCTTAGAGCATTTTTATTTTAAGTAGTGAATCTAATCACAGGAACAGATAAAGATTGAATTACTCGTACTGGAATTATGAGCACAGGTGTGTGAGCAGGTGGCATATCCATTGCTCCTAAAATCACAACATGCATGAACATTTACTGGTTTCATCAGGTGCTTAGCGCACCCCCAGCTATGTACTTTTAGCAGTCGAGACTTAATCACTGGGGGAAAGGCCTCCAACTCCAGAAATCATTTTGAATTGTATCATTTCCCTGGGAGAGGTACTATATTAGGCTGTTATTATCATTCCCACCTCAAAATAATTATCACTTCACAATAAATTGGCTTATCAGTTACTGAGTAAGGCACTGCAGGAATGAGTCATCAGAAAGGTAAATTCTGATGGAGATTAAAGTTGGGTATAGAACTGCGCTGTTCAGTAGAAATATAATGCCAGTCACATAGCAGCGTACAACTATTGGCTACCATACTGGACCGTGTGGGTCTAGAGCAAGGACAGAACTTAGAAGACAGGCCTGGGATTGCACACTGCAGTGTGAGGTGCTGAGAAACCCCACTAATCTCTAAAAGGGAGGAGATGTGGAGGAGGCAGTATCAAGACTTGAGTCATCGACCTACTTGCTAGGGAGCTAGACATGAGCCTTTGCCCACCAAAGAGATGGTTTGAAGTTTCACACTCACCCAGTAGCTAAACATTATGGAGACTGTTGAAAGGGCTTGCACTGTCACTCCTAGAGACAGACACAAAGAAAAGCAAAGCTGGCGAGAAGAATAGCCTGGACACTCCTGCATTTCCCAGGGCCAGGGAGCCCAGCAAGTCTCCAAACTCTTCTCCTATTCTCCCCTCCCTCGCTGTTCCTCCCTGTCTCCCTTCTCTCAGGCTCTCTGTCCCAGGCCTCCCTCAACCTTTAGCATCAGATTCTAGGAGGAGGAATAAAGGCTGGACAAAAGTCAAATCATTCAAGAAAAACTAATTGACCCAATTTCTACCCTCCATCTTGTGAAGTTTTATTGAAGTAAGACATTTCCCCACTAATTTTTTCAGGGCTCTTCATCTTAGGTCACATGTGATAAAGTGTAGTTCTTGGCCACCTTCCCCACCCTTTTAATTCAGCTCCTAAGTGGGTCTGGTACCCACTGTCTGGAATGCTTAGGGACTCCGGATTTGGCTCCAGGATCTAGCATCCAGCATGCCTAGAATCTCTTGCTTTCAAGCTCTCGAAGCCAGGGTGTTAGGAGAGAGGCTCCCAAACTGGGGGTGGCCCCTTTTTCTCTCATACCCACATCCAATCCTGTTAGCTCTATTCCAATTCCTTTCATCTGCTCACATCTCCCCATCCCCTGCCACTACTTGACCCAGGCCACCAGTGTCTCCTATGTGGACAACTGCAGAAGCCTCCAAGCTGGTCTCATTACCATTCTTGTCCTTCTATAGCTTGTTCTCCACTTGGAAGTCAGAGTAAGGTGTTAAAACTGAGGTCGTCATTTTTTTTTTTCTCAAAACTTCAAGGACTTTCTTTCACACTTAAGAGTAAAATCCAGACTTGAACATGGTCTATATGGCCCCACATTGTCTCTCCCAGGGCTCACATAATTCTTTCTTGGCCTCCTATCTGTACTTTGTAGCCCTTTTCTGCCCCAGGACCTTTGCACTGCTGTTCCACCTGCCTGGAATGCTCTTCTTTTGGTTCATCACAGGATGGGCTCCATTTTACTCTACTGTCTCGGTTCAAATGTCACCTTCTTAGAAAGGCCTTCCCTAGCTCCAGCCACTCTCTATCCTATTGTTTTGTTTTTTCCTTTTCTAATACTTATTATAGTCTGTCATCACTGTGTTTATTTGTTTATTCTATGCCTTTCCCTGTTTGAATGTAAACACTGAATGAGCCTGTCTGTCTATGCCATATTGCCAGCGTCCAGAATGGTGCCTGGCGCATGAAAAATACCCAATAAAAGAATGAATCATTGTTTAGTAAGGACTAAAGGCTACAGCTTTTGATTAGAGAGTGTTAAACATTGTCCCAAGATACTTACATTCAATGATTAGTATCAAACAAATGAATATCTTTCAGTTGTAAAATCTTTACATTTTATGTAAATCCTTTCACTTACATTACTCTATTTCATTTCTCTATAGATTAGATCAAAGGTTATATGGGTTGAAAGTGGTGAAAGGAGGCTCCTGTCCAGCCTTGCTCCTTTCCTACATCCCAGTGGCCATCACTTGTCACCACATTTCATACTGACATAGTAAATTGAGTTATTTCTGTGTTAGATAGTTTGGATACGTATTCTTTGATCTCTAGGAACAAGGCTAATGCAATTAGAGCTTGTATTTTTTAAAAGAGGGGGTTTTAATAATATGACATAGCATAATGTTCCTCAAACTTACTTTTGTTGATTAAAATCAGGGGTTGAGGGAAGAACATAATTAAACAAATTCCTAGGCCCTCTTTTGGAAATTGTTCAGTAGATGGGACTTGAAAAAAATTTTTAATGAGTACCCCAGGCGATCTTTATCCTGAGGGAGACACTTTTGTGATGGAATAAGAGAACCCTACCTATAATTGTGGCTCTGCCATTTACTAGCTGTGTGATCCTGAGCAAATACCTTAACCTTCTTGTCCCCTTAAAAGGGTAACAATAGGTGTAACAATGCCTGCCACATAGACGTGTTGAGAGAGGATTAAATGTGAGCAGGTTTGTGAAACACCATCTCTCTGACTCCTCTGGGGCCTCTTAGCTTCCTTCCTGCATAAAGAACTGAGCTCCCAACCCCAGCCCTCACCAGGTCTGGATCTCTCACCAATTCTGACCTTTCTGGGTCTGCTACAGAACCAGCTTCAATAGGAACTCAACCTAGTTTAGGACTTAAGAGACACAGGTATATCATCTCGTTGTTATTTATTATTTTGGTCTTTCTTAGCTCTTATGTTGGATTTTGTGATGAAGTGACCCGGAAGCTACCAGTTACATTTCCCTCCCTGCAGAGGTGGTATGGATTGCCAAAATCTGTGTTGAACCATCATCATTTTATTTTCTTACTGCCACAGAGGTGATAGTATGTAGTTGTTAAGCCTTTGAGCCCAGACTGCCTGGGTTCAAATGATGGTTCTGCTCCCTACGAGCTGTGCGATCTTGGACAAATTGCTTACTCTCTGTTCTTCAGTTTCTTCATCTGTAAAATGGGCATAATAATAGTTGCTACCTTACTATAGGGTTGTTATAGGGATCAAGCGAGTAATACATGTTAGGTGCTGAGAACAGTGCCTGGCACAAAGTAAGTATTCAGCAAGGGTTAGTCATGACTGTTCTTTCAAGGATAACCATGGAATAAAACACACAGCAAAAACTAGAGGAGACACAATTCATATAAACTGACACCACTTATCCGAATCTCATTTCCACTAATTTTCTTCTTGATAGGGGAAGTTCTTGTTTGAGCTTCACATTTAGAGTAAAACCTTGCTCTTTGCTGTAGGTCTGAGAAGCTCGTTCTCTCTCCAGCTCCCCTCCCACCCCCAAATACTTCTAGAACAGGGACATACGTACTGTGTTCTGTCAGATGGTCTGCAGAGGTGCTTCAGGCCTTCTGCAAGTTCAATTTAAATGCCATTTAAATATACTTCTAATTATTTAAAAAACTATAAAGCAATACCTGGCCAAAAGTATCCTAGACCAAATTCTAAAATGCCAGAAGACTACCTCCTCATTTGGGGCTGACAGGTTAACCCATTTTGTGCAGACTTTGGAATAAAATGTCTTCTGCCATCTCTGTGTATATATTTGAGCTTATAAATTTGTTTTTGATTAAGAAGGTTGTAGTTCTAAGAAAGAGTTCTAACGCTCTTTCATTTATTTGTATTAATTGTCTGTTTTTTAGTTTAAATCTAGACCAATGATGTCAAAATTTAGGCCTGACAGTGTCATAGTGGTGAGTTCCCCATCACAGTGGTGAGTTCCCCTTAAGAACAGCCCACAGGCATCCAGAAGGCTCCATGCTTCTTCTTGGAGCACACTGTCCTTGGGCGGCACAGTTGGCCAGGCAGTAACAAGCACAAGCGCAACATCGCCATCATGCCATATTTTAGATAGTCTTTGAAATTCTTAAAATTGTGGAGACTTGTTTGCTTTTTAAATATAAGGAATGCAAGCAGTTCTTATAAATCATTGGTGATTCATCTTTGAAATAAAAATTTTCTAATTCTCTTCTTTCAAATTTCTAAATTAGTTTTATTGTGGAGTATTCTGAGATTCACAATTAACTTTTTTTTTCTAACTGCTCCCATTTCCATCCCTTATGTGTCAGTGGAGGTGTTCTGTGTACTGTGCACTGAGACAAACTACAGAAAGAAATTGGATCTTGAATCTGACTAAGCAGGAAATTGGCATCCTTACTCTATATTCTAATTTTAACTGTTTTGATTGACTCTGTAATAAATAAATATTATACAGTCAAACTTAAAAATAATATAATGCCACTTTTATATTTTTGATGATATAGCATTCTACTTTAAAACAGGGTGTACCTAATTAAAAAAATTTTTTTTCATCCACACTCTAAAAGCATTGTAGTGGAAGGTCCCATCCTTCCCTCAATGAAGGCAGAGCAGCCTGGCTCAGAGGATAAAGGCGATTGGAGGTCGCCATCACATAAATCATGTATAGTGGTCAATGGACTTTAGGGGCAGACATGGCTTTTATAGCAGACGCAGTCATTGGTAGCATTTCTTGTCATAAGTACCTGTTTAGTCCATTTCTCTAACACGGATTTCTGGATGCCAGCAGTTCTGTTGGACCACTCTGAAGACCTTTCCATCCTTCAGCATCTTTCCTTCTCCCTAGGGCAGAAAATGCACATCAACAAAAGACAACCTAAGCTTACTTAGATTAATTCTTCCTTGTATGCTTTGGAATGTGGTTTGCCCTAATATTTTTAGGAGTTTTTACTTAATTCTCAAAGAAGTAGAAATCTGTTCATTTACTGGAACTCAGCTTTTCATCCTCATGACTTAATATTGGCCTGGAGTTACAGGTTGTACTCTGTGGGTGTCAGTGGCTGGACACAGAGAACAAGATCATGGTCATGACCTTTTGGGGGTGCATGACTGAAGATGGCTGGTCACCTTGCTGACCTGAACCACTGGCTAATATAAGCCCTAGGAAGAAGGCCCAGTGTCTGAAAAACTATAGATCTGTAACATTTTAGAATTGAAAAGGACCTCTGAGATAGACCATCTAGTCTAACCCTCTTGTTTTATAGAGAAGCAACAGATGAATAGTGAGAATAAGTGATTTGTCTAACAGAGCAGGGCCCTGTCTAACACCTGCAGGAGGAATAAAATGAATTGGTCTAGCAGCATGTATGAAATTCAGTGCCACCAGGCAGCATGCCCACCTGTGTATACAACCTTTTAATACTCAGTGGAGGGGGCTAAACTAAATGGCTGTACAAAGCATGGCAGTGACCTCTAAATTGGACCTCTAGTTTGTGATTCCCTAAAGAAAAGGGAAAAGTTCTGGCCAGGGGCCCTGAAATCAGACTGCTCAGGTCCAAATCCCTGAATGCTCTCACTTACTGTGTGGTCTTGAGCAAGTTAAACAACATCTCTGAGTCTCAGTTTGCTCATATTTAAAATAGGGATAATAATACAACTTACCTTAAAGAGATCTTGTGAGCATGAAATGGAATAATCCACATAGAACAATTAGTGGAGTAGCTGACACATGTTAAGTGTCTAAGTATTAGTTGTGAATGATGTATGGCTAATTAGAGACTAGGGTATCTCCTGATGTTCCCCTGCTTTGAGGGCACACCACCTCCAATGGTGCTTCAGAGCCTCAAGATTGCCCATGGACCCGATGGGCTCGCCAAGTGGGCATGTGGTGACCAAAGCCCTTGAGCTGTGCTTGGTGGAGCCCTCTGCCCATTTCTTCTTCCTCTTGGCTTAATCATGGGTTGCACCCAGGCCTTGACAAAGCTTCCTTCTTTATCCTTCAGTTCTCTGGACAAGACCTTTTATATCTCCTGCATGGAGAAAGCAGACTACTTTTCACCTTCAGGTTTGGCAGCCCATTCACATCTGGCCTGCATGAGGAAGACCTCAGATCCACGTTTTCATTTTTCATGGACTGGGAGAAAAAGTCAGTAAATGAGAGACTTGTGTAACTGTGACAGGTATCTACATCCAAGCTGAGCCAAGTCTCTGACATCAGGACATCAGGATTGATTTGCCTCAGTTCTTATCCTTTGCTGATCCTGCCAGCATCTGAACAACCTCCTGCGAGAGTCTTGATGGAGGCAGGGCCCATCCTCCCTCTAATAAAGCCCCAAAGCCCAACTATTTGCTCTCTTTGACCCAAGTTTGGCTAATCAATGCTTGGTTTTTAATCAAGAACAAGTGATGCAAAAAGACAGGAACAGCAAATATATTCTGCCATTGATTCCAGCAGTGACCATGTGCTGTGTCTGTTGTCAGTGGTATTGGTGTGGCGGCAGTGTCCAGTGTCTAGCTTGGAGGCAGTGGTTTCCTAGAAGGCTGTTCCTGTGGTGTATCCTTGGCTGTGGCTTCAATTGCCTGTACATTTTATGAGTGTGGTTCCCTATGAGTGTGGCATTTTATAATTCTTGAGGGGCTTAAAATACTTGCAACAAATTCATTTTCTGCTTAACTAACCATTGTTGGTTTCTGCTGTTTGCAGGGAATCCTGAATGACACTGATTGCATAAGTAGAATATAGGAACACATCTTGCTATTGATGAAGAAGGGAGCGAAAAGAGAAAAAGTCAGGAAACAAACTTTCATTTGCCAAATTAGGAGTTTTATTTTTCTTTTGCTCCTGAATAGGAAAGCTTAATCACTGTAAAATACCCAGAATAACAGAGTGCTGAAGAGAGTTGTCTTCGCATACTGACAGAACTGGGTTTAAATCTCATTAAATTACTTCCTAGCAGTATAAGTGGCTAAGTTATGGGCCTTCTGAGTTTAAGCCTCACTTTTTCTATCTGTAGAATGTGGACCATCATATGGCCCCCTAACATCCTTGGAACATATTCTATATGTGAAGAAATTTTCACATTATGATTCCCCCCTTTCTGAGAGAAAATCCTGAATTCGCTTTCCCAGCCTCCCTTGTAGCGAGGGAACTGACAAGTGCTTTAGGCTCTGTCAGAGGCCCCCACGTGTGACTTTGATTTGGAAGTGAGCACTGTGAGGAAGCAGAGACTACTTTTTGGTCAGGGTGTTGTTTGAAGTGTCAGACATGGCTGGAGAAGAAATGGCAATGCTTTGGTCTGCAGTCTCAGCAGCATCAGCGTGAGCATGAGCTTCCTGTGTGTGACCAGGAGTGGCAGCACTCGAGTCTTTGCTGCAGCAGCCCCCTAGGTACCGCTGGGCATTGTGCATGTTAGCATGGCCTCTGAGCTTGATCTGTAACTCTCTCCCAGGAAGCCTGTGAACTGCTTTTCTAATTAAACTAGCTGGAGTGGATTCTGTTTGCAACTAAGAACACCGAGTGGTTCAGAAGATTAAGTGATAGAATGTTTGTAAAGAACTTAACGCCAGACCAGAGAACATGCTTAATAAATTATGGCCAGATTTCACCATATACAGTATTCCCCTCCTTATCCATGGGAGATACGGTTCAAGACCGCCTCCCACCCCAAGTGGTTGCCTGAAACTAAGGATAGTACTAAACCCTATAAATACTATATTTTTTCCTATATATACACACCTATGATAAAGTTTAATTTATAAATTAGGCATAGTAAGAAATTAACAAAAATAACATAAAATAGAACAATTATAACAATATATTGTAATAAAAGTTATATGAATTTCATCTCTTTCCGTTCCTGTCTTCCACTCATAAATGTATTGCCTTTTCCATCTTAACTAAGCACTTATCATGCACCAGGGCTGCAACTTTTGCAGTTTGAGATGCGACAGCAAAATTAGCACAGATTTCTTTTTCCTTCACAATTTCATAGATAGAACATTTGTTCTTACCATAGATCTTAGCAACTTCAGCATATGATTTTTTTTCTTTCTTTATTAAGTCTAGAACTTGTACTTTTTCACTTAAAGGAAGCACTTTATGGCTACTCTTTGGCATGTCTGAATTGCCAGCATCGCTAATCTTGCAATTTGAGGCCATACTTAAGTAAAATAAGGGTGACTTGAACACAAGCACTGTAATATCTAGACAGTCGATCTGATAACCAAGAATATTACTAAATGACTAATGGGCGGGGAGCATATGCAATAGTGTGGAGATGCTGGACAAAGGAATGATTCACGTCCAAGGCAGGATGGAGTGGGACTGCTCAAGATTTCATCATGCTACTCAGAACATTGTACAATTTAAAACTTATAAATTGTTTATTTCAGGAATTTTCCATTTAATATTTTCAGACTGTGGTTGACCACAGGTGACTGAAACCATGGCTAAGGAGAGGCTATTATATTCATGGCAAGGGAAAAATTGCTCTTGGACATGCATGAGTAAGTTTTGGCTTCAGATAAAGCAGAGCATATTTAAGCAGAAATGGATCATTTAGTTCAACTCTTGCATTTACCAGTGAGTCCATGAGGTGCAATAACTTGTCCAAGGTCATATACTTATTATAGTTGGTATAGAACTGGGATAAGAACCCAGGTTTATGAAGCCATTTCCATCCCACCAGGCTGATATTTGGTAATTAGTGTTTATCTAATAGGCAAAGTTTAATTACTATAATTTCCTAAAGAGTCTAGTCTTTTACAAGGGTTGCCCTCATTATGTGGCAGGAGAATCAGACTCACTGAATTTCTCTCTCCATAGCCTTAATGCTGGATCTATTATAGTAGGGCAAATGAATGACAGCAACTGTCAGTGGAACTCTCAGTGAAAATTATCACAGACCAGCTATGCCCCTATAATAGGCTCCCAATTCTTGTTGTTTATTCAGCCAGAATTTTGGGACCTGATAGCCATTGTAGAGAATCAGTTCCTGATCCCTTTTACTTTACAGTCAGGAACCCCATATCCGTACAGGGAAAATGTGCCTCAGAGGTCAGCATGTGCTGATGGGAGAAGAACTAGGATGTGTCTCTCTTAGGTTCTATTTTTAATGTTTACCTCAATATCAACCAACATCTTAAACTAAAATAATAACCAAGTAATTTGAGCAAGCTGCAATAATTTATTCAACCCAGAAACAAATTGTTTTTTTTCCTAAACTCTCAAAACAAAGTTTTTATTTCTTTTTCTTTTTTCTTTTTTATAATTTATTTTAATTAGTTTCAAGTATACAGTGTATTGGTTAGACATCTATATAGATCATAAAACGATCTCCCCAATTGCTCCCTCTGTCCCCTGACCCTCCACCTAGCCAACGTATTAATGCTAACTGCATTCCCTATGCCGCGCTCCCCATCCCCATGACCATCCATCAGCTACTAATTTGTACTTCTTTAACCCTATACCCCATTCTCCCAGCTCCCCAATCCCACCTCCCCTTTGTCCATCACCAAATTGTCCACTATATTTGTAAATCTGTTTTTGACTAGTTTGTTCTTTTTATTCCTTAGATTCCACACACAAGCAAAATCATATAGTGTTTATCTTTCTCTGTCTGACTTAAATACCTTCTAGGTCCATCAAAGCAATATCTTTGTCCATCTCCTTCCTTTTAGTCTGTGTATGTCTTTTAATCTGAAGTTATCTCTTATAGGCAACATGTAGGGGTCTTGTTTTCCTTTCTATTCATCCACTCTATCTTTTAGTTGGAACACTTAATTCTTTTCCATTTGAGGTACTTATTGATAGGAATGTAGT